ACACACACACACACACATGCATACAAAAACACTCACGCACAAAAACACACACACACATGCATACAAAATTACTCACACACAAAACACACACACAAGCATACAAACACACTCACGCACAAAAACACACACACACATGCATACAAAATTACTCACACACAAAAACACACACACATGCATACAAACACACGCACAAAAACACACACACATGCATACAAAATTACTCACACACACACACACACATGCATACAAACACACTCATGCACAAAAACACACACACACATGCATACAAAAACATTCACACACACACACACGCATACAAACACACTCACACACAAAAACACACACACACATGCATACAGACACACTCACGCACAAAAACACACACACACATGCATACAAAAACACTCACACACACACACACGCATACAAACACACTCACACACAAAAACACACACACATGCATACAAACACACTCGCACAAAAAAACACACACACAAACAAAGACATACACAAATGCACAAACACACACACACAAACGCAAGTACACATGCACACACACACACACACACACGCACACACACATGTACAGCTGTTTTTATGGGAACTTGTTGTAGCTGTAGTGATGTTTGTAGCAAACACTCTGCACTGTTACATCCACACAATCCTTTATTCTGAACGATTTATCAGCCCTTTTCATTATGGGGACCCCAATGTATACAATACAACGTACACAGACACACACACACACACACACCTTCAGACTGTCGTGAGTCTCGTCTGCTGCTCTCCGGCTCACAGTCGCTCCTGATCGTCTCCACTTCAGTCCAGAAAGACTCCAGACTCAGGCTCTGTGCGTGTGTGTGTGTCTGTGATGCGGTCGAGGGCTCTGGAGAGTCCGGCTGTGGGTCCCGAGGGTCCGTCCGGGACTCTACATTCATCGCGGAGAAGCTGCAGTCCCTGAAACAACAAAACAAGATGATGATGATGATGAAGAACCATCCTGCACTGCACAACAGGCCTTACTCACAGCTTTTGTTTTGATTCTAATAATAATAATATTAACACATTTTATTTAAAGGCGCCTTTCAACTCAAGGACACCGTACAATCAACAAGAGCAATAAAACAACAAGGGGAATAATAAAATATACACAGCAATAGTGCAGATAAAACTAAGCAATAAAAGCCATCTTAAATTGATTTGGACAGTGTGAGGGAGTCAGGGTTTCTGATGGCGGGTGGTATTGAGTTCCAAAGCCGTGGAGCAGAGCGACTAAATGCTCTGTTGCCCATAGACTCAAGACGAGAAGAGGGAACAGACAAGTGGAGGGAGGAAGAAGACCGCAGGGTGCGAGAAGGAGCAGACATGTGAATGAGGGCAGACAAATAAGGAGGGATGAGATTGTGGATGGCTTTAAATGTTAACATCAAGATTTAAAAGTCAATTGGAAAATGAACAGGTGACCAGTGAAGCTGCTGCAGGACAGGGGTGATGTGATGAGAAGAAGGGGTTCTGGTGATGATACGGGCAGCTGAGTTCTGGACCAACTAAAGATTACGGAGAGATTTATGAGTGAGACCAAAGAGAAGAGAGTTGCAGTAATCTAAACGAGATGTGACAAGGCTATGAATGAGAACAGCAGTGGTGTGAGGGGTAAGAGAAGTGTGGAGACGGTTAATGCTGTGTAGGTGGAAGGAGGCAGACCGAGTGATGTTATTACTGTGAGAATCAAAAGATAGAGTGCTGTCAAGGATGAGTCCGAATTCTAGTCCCAATATCTAAAATGATTAAATCAAGAAGCAGTTTACAGACAAGCGAAATGTGTATTGTTTTCTGACATAATCAGTCAATAATAATCATATAATAATCATCATTTTCAACATTTAAACAAGAATATTTTAGCTTGTTTTATGGAAATCTCTCTTCATTTTGACTCATTATTTCTGAAAACAACACTATATTTGTGCTTGTCTAATTCATTTTCCTTCAGCTTAGTCCCTTTATTTATCAAGGGTTGCCACAGCGGCATGAACCGCCAACTTATCTAGCATATGTTTTACGCATTGGGTGCCCTTCCAGCTGCAACCCAGTACTGGGAAACACCCATACACACTCATTCACACACACTCATACATTGCAGCCAGTGTAGTTGATCAGTTCCCCTATAGCGCATGTGTTTGGACTGTGGGGGAAACCGGAGCACCCGGATGAAAACCACACCAACACAGGGAGAACATGCAAACTGACCCAGCCGGGACTTGAACCAGAGACCTGAGTGCTGTGAGGTGACAGTGCTAACCCCTGAGCCACAGTGCTGCCCTTTTTTCCTGTCTAGAAAATTCAATTGAAGTTTTTTGTATTGCACTTTTTACAATAATTATCAATGCAAAGCATTATTACTATAATAAATGCTTCTTGATTTAAGAAAGTTCAGATATTTGGACTAAAAACAAGACAAAAACTCGCTTAAAAACTTGTTAATAAGAACAGAAACGCATTGTTTGGCAGTGTGGAGGTAAATTCAGGAAAAAGTGTGATGAGTTTCATCATCAGTGAGTGTGATTGACCGATGTAAATCAGGAGTGTCATTCAGCTCAAGCAGAGGTTTCTTTAACATGCTAATGATAGTCAAGTGGACATTAATGAAGAGCAGCTGGTTAAACCGGTTTTATATTTATATCCACTGATTTAATCAAAGCTGAAACCCCTTAAGCCTGGTTTATACTACACGTCAGCTAGTTCGCTTGAATGCGTGCGGCAAATGTAATGTGTTTGCGGAGGCTCGCTATGGGTGCGCATGACATGATTTCGGCCGGCAGAGCGCATCATTTTTTTGAGACCCGAGTGAACAGTGCACGCGGTGACACATTGAGTTTAATATGAAACACTTTGAAGAGGTTTTGTCTGAAACAGAACGACTGTACAGACATCATTATGACCCGTGATCAGAGAGATAACCTGATGATCAATAATTCATAGAAAAAGCAACAGCCGTGGGAAACGAGGAAAGGTTTTGGTAAAAGGTTTGGAAAAAGCTGAGGGATGAGTTTGTTAAAGTCAAAAGAGGCCATGACAAAAGTGGAAACCTGGGGTCTGTTCTTCGTACGTGGATTACTCAGTTAGCTGGATTTGGATGTTGAAGATTTGACATGATCCAGGATCGTTTTGTTCTTCAAAGCTGATCTGAGAGTTGTTGTCATGGCAACAGATCTGCTAGGTCAAACCTGATTGGGAGCAGGTTCATTCACATAAACAGGATTAGATCGGCTCAGTTCAAGCAAAGATAATACAGAAAGTATGTTCTGATATTTTCTTACAGTAGTAGTTATATACACTTGGGAAAATGGTACATATTTTTTAACTATATATATAAAGTTATAGTCATTAATAAAATAAATAAAGTTATACATATTAATAAAACTTATGCAATCTGCACCCTGGAAATGAAAGTACAAAGACTGCCACCTGCTGGTGCAAAGAGAAAACTTATTGATATGAACTTTTTAGATCGCTTTAGTACAAATTGTGTATGATAGAAATGCAGAATATGTGACTTTTTTTTAAAGCAATAATACATTTATGCAGTCATAAACATGTTTTGACAGTTAATATGCCAGTGATTTGATGCTTCACAAAAGTTGCAGACGCCTTTACCAATATGAAAATGCTTTTGGAAACAACCAGTTATTCAATACACCAATTAAAAAACGGCTACTATAATAAAGAAAATCTTCTCTAAATGTAGAACTAAATACACTGATATGCACTGAAATACATGATGAATACTCTTGACACATAAAAGTGTAAATCCTGCAGCTCACAACAAATGTGGAAGGTTATTGCGTGTCATATTTGACAAACGGTTTACTGCTAATTTAATGTAATTTTGCTCACATGGATAATTGAATATTAATCAGATGATGTCATTACGCTGCTCTGCCGTCAGCCAATCGCTGCATTGCTGATCATGATTTCGAGGATCGATAGATCTGTCCTTCACAAAACACACAGATCTCAGATCAGTTTATCCAGACATTCTAATCTGATTCACGAACTCGTTTGAAGAACCAAATTAGCGAGAGATCAGTTATCAAGATGAACAGATCCGGGATCTGCCAAATCATCTTAGATCATTTAATCGAGGTACGAAGAACAGACCCCTGATACACAATTACAGAATATGTTTATCCACCAGTCACAGGTTTAACACTGATGAAGATATTAAATCCTGAATTTACAACAGTTTAATAGTTACAAAACTAAATAAGGAACAAATTATTGCTTTAATAACTGGTGAGGACATTTGAGCCTGTCGGTTTACAGTACACTGATGCCTGTTTTAGGCGTTGTTGGTGATCATGGTCAGGAATGTTGGAGCATTATTGCCTCTTTAGCATAAGTAGAGGACAGAAACTAGCCAGACAGTCATGTGGGAACTGTGGAGCGGGCTAAATCTAGAGTAATGCCAGTAGTTTTTAGTAAGTGCACTTTTTTTGCTTTTATTCTTGCCATAATAAAATATATATTTGTAGAGTAACCCATGTTCTGCTGTCATTAATACTTTAAAAAACTATAAAAGGTAAAACTGTCCGAGATATGAACAAAAGCAAGTGATGCATCAACGTTTGATTTAAAAAAAAATCTTGAATGGTTATTAAAACGTTTATAATCATAAAAATAATTTAGAAAAACAAAAAAAATCCTTAAAAATATATTATATAAAATAATAATACTGAATGATATTAATTATATGGCGTAGTTCTGGAAATTTTCTACTTCTTTAACTACTTCTTCGTTTCTCTGTCTGATTTTACGGTCAGTTTCTGTTGGCCGCCCCCTGTCGTTGTAAACGTGGCACGGATAAAAGCCTCGTCTGTTTTGTGAGGTGCGTGCGCAGTCAGCGGAGGTGCGCGATGCGGCGCCAGGCAAAAGTATAAATCCAGCTTTAGACACAGATTTAAAGATGCACTCGACCGTCAGAGAGCAAACCAAGTCAATTCACAGACACTCGATACAAAACCAGCAGAAGCAGCCAAACCAGCACAGTGACCGGAGCTGTGTTTCCATTCAAAGATGTCAATTAAACTTATACACACAACTGTAATATTGCAGAAAGCATCAGTGCATACAGCAGCGCCAATGATGCACAGTAGAGCATCAGCTCATGCACAGATATCACTGAGAGAAGTGCAGTTCTCCCCACGTCGACTATGCTTACATGGACATCAGTAATGCAGTGATTTGCCTTGATCTGAATAAGACAGTGATATGATGAAGGTGTTTACATGAGCTGCTTTCTGAATGTTCCTGTCATGATCCCGTCTTACATGTTACAGCACATAGATCCATTATTGTCATCCACATTTGCACTGGAGTCTCAGGTAAATTCAGCTGTTTCATTATTCATTTGTGGACTTTTCCTGCAGTTTGGCACATTCAGGAACATTTCATGCCCCAGTGACAACCCAGATATAGCATGCGAGTGTGAACTGCTGGAAGAGTGTAGTTTTCATGGAATGTTTGATAACGCACGCCGAATGGGGAAATAAACCTGCACATTTCACAACGTGTGTGTCTGTGGTCCTTCACAATAGTGTCAGACAGCCGTGTGTGTGGAATATCCTGTCCAAAATACAGTGAAAATCCTACACCACAGTAATAGCTTGATTAAAATGTTTACACGTCTGCACTGCACTTCAATAATGAGAACAAAATCAGCAAACTCCACATGTCTTTATGCCATTATGACCCTAATCAGATTAAACGAATCAACAATCTCTGTTTACATGGTCAGCTCTTCATCAGAGTATTGTCTTAATCATATTAATATCAGAATACTGGTGTCCATATAAACATACTCATTGTGAGGAATACAAGGCACACACACACACACACACACACACACACACATACACTGTACGCCTTGTTATGTGTTCTCAGTGTAATGATATAATCCTCTCGGCTGTACCTGGTATTGCTGTGAGTTTGAGTTTGTCTGGTTAAGTTTTTCTCATCTCGACGAAAACGCATCGGTCGACGAATTTTTCCATTCAGGACGAGTTTAGATCGAACCAAACGCACCACTTTCTCCTCTCGAGGCTTCATCTCCATATAGAACATTCTCAATCAATGCAGATCAATAATTAATAATAATAATCCTCTGACTGAACATGTCCATCACTCATTCATTACTCCATTTCTGAGTGTAAAAATGTCCCACGATGATGCACACACACTTCAGTTCCACGGATTAATCCTTCATCAGCTGCTCACTGTTGTATTTGAGCATGTGTGTGTGTGTGTGCGTGAGTGTGTAGGACAAAACCAGCAATACCACATCTCTGACACCTAAACTTGCCCTTCTGGGACACACCCTCATTAACACGCATGCACACACACACACACACACACACACTCACACACATTCACTGCTCATGCCATTCATAATTTAACAGATAAACAAACCCATAAACCTCTAACCCACATTTTCTTTTGCAATCAGACCAAATCATGTGTGAAAAACTGCGATGAATGTGCTGATTATTATATTTCCTGTAACTTCACATTTCCCTAGAAAAGTGCTGTTCATCCGCTGTCAGCCTCTTTTACTGCCTTTAAATTCACTGAAAGACACCGTTTCATTAGTGTTAAATCTGTTTCAAATAGTTTCAGGTCAAAGGTGCTCAATAAGAAAACGAACACAAAGAATAGTGTGAACATTAGCTGAACGTTTAGCTAACGAATAAAACTACCAGTTCTGTAGTGTAGTGATGTCCAGCCCTCATATCTCAAGCAGAATGCAATGATGAGCAGGGGATTTTGCATTTGTGTTAACATGTAGTGAAGCATTGTTTAGGGAATCAAGTCTTAGATCAGAAGATGCAGCACACGTGTAATATATCAGCATGATCGAGCACAGACAGAAAAGAAGCTTCCACAAGGTTTTTTTTGGCATTTAAAGTAAAATTAGATTAGATTAATTTATGAAATAAAAGCTTAACTGGGCCAATTGCCGTTTCAGTGTGGAGTTTGCATGTTCTCCCCATGTTGGCATGGGTTTCTGCTCCAGTTTCCCCCACAGTCCAAACACATGCGCTGTAGGGGAATTCATACCTGTCAGCCCTCCCGTTTTTCCCGGGATTCTCTTATATTTTTCAATTTTATCCTGTTGTCGTCCTGTAAAGGTATTTTCCTTTATTTCTCCTGTATTTTTAGTCTTTCACATTATGAAGGGTGACAATAAACATTAAAGAGCCGACCCTCCCTATACGCAACCCATACCACCAGACCATCAGGGGACGCCTCTTGCTCTTAAATGTGAGTCTGTTCTGTGCATTCATTTTATTTAGGCATGAAAACTTCAAGGGCAACCCTTCTATGCAATCCTCAATACAGTCAGCTCATGCAGCAGTGTGTGACTGTCAGACGCGCTGTATAGTGATGAACAGACGCTGTTTCCCAAACCGATTCTGTACACTGCATTTAAAGCAGAGTGAAAGTGGACACTCTGGGTTTTGGGTGCATATTTAAACAGATATATACACATAATAATAATAATAATAACTATAATATCTAATCATGTCAATCTTGGTAGATTTTCTTTTAAACACAACACATTTTGTCTTAAATGAGCATAAACAGTTTGGAAAGCAATCGAATGCTTTCACTATAGATGTGTGCATTTTTAAAGTGACAGCTCTATTATTTAATGCAAACAAACAAAAAATGTGAATGAGAGCTTCATGTGCTGCTCTTTAATCAGAATGTTTCAATTATACAGGGAAGAAAAGGTGAATGAGATTTGATAACTTGATCATATTTCTTTAAAACAGCTATTCATTTGAAAAGGCTAAACTGTTTGCTAATTTATTTTGCAGCTTTTTCTAAATCATACTATTCATCATATCCTTTGTAAATAATAATATTATTAATAATAATAATAAAACAAATTATTGACAAACTGTTTCAACTGTTTATTTACAATCAAACAGTCCAAACACATGCGCTATAGGGGAACTGATCAACTACATTGGCCGTAGTGTATAAGTGTGTGTGGATGTTTCCCAATACTGGGTTGCAGCTGGAAGGGTATCCGCTATGTAAAACATATGCTGGAAAAGTTGTCGGTTCATTCCGCTGTGGTGACCCCTGATAAATAAGGGACTAAGCCGAAGGAAAATGAATGAATAAAAGCTCATCATCAATCCAAAAACATAAGTACAGGAGAAATAAAGGTGCGTGAGCTGTCACTGGGGTGGTTCCTTTTCAAAAGCTACACATTTGTACTTAAATGGTCAATATTGGTACCTCAAAAGTATTATATTAGTACCTAGAAATGTTAAGAGGAACACTTTTGTACTTTTTAGGTACTAATATTAATATGGACCTTTTAGGTATAAAAGTGTAGCTTTTGAAAAGGCACCACCCCAGTGACCGCTGGAGTAGCTTTATTTCTGAGAGTGTACCTGTAAGAAGGTGCTCTTTCAATCTTTCACTGTTCTTGTTTTCTCTCCTCTTAACACATTACACGCGTGTTTCTGCATCTGCATTATTAGCATCGTCCTCATATTTGCGCAGACATTCTTCAGTGAATAGCCAGGCTGACACAGGTCGGCCATTTCTCATTAAATCTGTCAATAATGCGCTTAAAGAATCTGCTGGCTAACGCTAACAGGAAGCCGCATGACGCAGATGCACATTTCATTGTTCTGTTCAATCTCAGCCTGCTAGTTCTGTCTACACACTCACTAAATCAGCATCATATCCAGAAAAACAGAACACAGCAGATTAAATCCAGCATATAATGAATCGTGAGTTACGGATGTCAGCATGTGATCTGGATCAAGAGCTCTCCTCTTTAAATGATGGAATGCAGATATTCAGGCTTGTGTTTTTCATGCCGGAAGAACACTTGGATTATTTTTAACCTGAATTCCCCCCCGGCGCATGTTGAGATTCATTGTTGTTTTATAGGACGTGCCACAATACACTTGACTTTTAGAGAACACTGAAGTGAACACTGAAGGCTACAGGCTGCCTATACAATCAAGCCTGAAATTATTCATACCCCTGACAAATTCAGACCTAAAATTACTTTCATTGAAGCATTTTTTGACTGGAAATGACACAGGCTTCTCCCAAAGTATACTAAGACGATGTTTTTTGTGATGTTTTTACACAAAAAAACTTTAAGACACAATTTGTCCGGGGTATAAATAATTCCAGACTTGACGGTGTATGTGTATATAATATATATAAATATATACACAAGTACAAACTACTAAACGTGATTAAGCTTCTGGCAGGATAAACATTGCAGAAATGCTTTTCTAACTTTGATTTGTTTTGTGATTTCTAGGCTTGTTTTAAGGAAAAACTCTTATTTTGGCAAATTATTTCTAAAAACAAGACAAAATTTTTGCTTGCCTAGAAAATTCATATTGCATAAAGCATTTGCAGATATTTGGACTAAAAACGAGACAAAAAGTGCACTGTAGCTAATTCATGCATCTTATAACTTTCAGATGATTAAACTGTTTTTATAAATCACAGCAGCCCAAAATCACCAAAACCCACAGCATTATGACTGATACATGTACAGGAAACAATAGACCAGACATACACCAGCTAATATAACTAAAGACATGCTGACAAACCACAGCGTTTCACTGAATATCTCACAACATGTAGACATGATGCACAGCATGCGCAAATGAATCTGTCAGCGGCTACATTCTTCAACAAGTTCATCAACATGAGCCACAAGAATGAAAAGATTCAGTAAAATGATTGAGTCAACAGCAGAGTTGGAGATGAACAGCCACTAAAATTAATAAATACGTCACAGAAAAAATGCCTATTCACTATGAAACTAACACTATTGCAGCTGTCAGAATTAAAATGCACCAATCAGAGACGTTTAGATCAGTTAAAATTAAAATGTACCAATCAGAGAGGCTTTGATTGGTCAGAATTAAAATGCACCAATAACAGATGTTTAAATAAGTCAGAGTTAAAATGCACCAATTAGAGATGTTTAGACTATTCTGAATTAAAATGCACCAATCAGAGACTTTTAAAAAGGTCATTATTAAAAATGCACCATACAGAGACGTTTGAATTAGTCAGAATTAAAATGCGAAAAATCAGAGTAGTATAAAATAGTCATAATTAAAAATGGACAAATCAGAGATGTCGGTTCATTCAGCTGTGGCGACCTCTGAGATAGAGACTATGCCGAAGGAAAATGAATGAATGAATGAAATCAAAGATGTTATATTAATCTGAATTAAAAATGCACCAATCAGAGACATTTAGATTAGCCAGAATTAAAATTCACCAATCAGAGACATTTAGATTAGCCAGAATTAAAATTCACCAATCAGAGAGGCTTTGATCAGTCAGAATTAAATTGCACCAATAACAGATGTTTGAATTAGTCAGAATTAAAATAAATTAAAATGCACCAATCAGAGATGTTTAGACTATTCAGAATTAAAGTGCACAAATCAGAGACATTTAAAATGGTCATAATTAAAAATGCAGACACATTTAGATTAGCCAAAACTAAAAAACCAACCTATCAGAGACTATTATACAAGGCAGAATTAATAATGCACCAATCAAAAACGTTTAGAACAGTCAGAAATAAAAATGCACCAATCTAAATAAGTCAAAATTAAAATAAACCAGTGCTTAAACCAGTGCTTAAAGTTATATAGTTATAGTTATATATATATATATATATATATATAGTTATAGGTATATAGTCAGTGCTAAAAAGAGGTGTTTAGAAAAGTCAATATTAAAATGCATCAATCAGAGACGTTTATGTAAGTCAGAACGAAACATGCACCAAGCAAAAACGTTTAGAATAGTCAGAATTCAAATTCACCAATCAGGGTCATTTAAAATGATCACAATTAAAAATGCACCAATCAGAGACCTTTAGAATAGTCCTAATTAAAATGCACCAATCAGCGATGTTTCAGCATTTCAGAATTTCTTGTTTTATGTTCAACAGAAGAAAGACACTGAAGTTCAGAGCCACTCGTGTGAGTAAATGATGAGGAAATGCTCATTTTTCTGCCTGAACGGCCCCTTTAGGAAAGCGTTTAAATGGAAAAGGTGATTTCTGAAGTGCTCCACAGAGATGTAGTGCAGTTGTGGTTTTGCAATATAACTCTCTGACACACTAAAGCACCTAAAATAACTGAGGGAAAAGTCCCAGTACTGAGACAAGTGTTGGATTAGTGCAGTGAGGTTTAGTTTCTCCTGACACACACTCGCTGTAATCTGCTTTCCTCAGTCACACTGTCTTGCTTTCAGTCTTAATCCAGATTGTAGTTTCAAAGCTTCTTATATCTTACTGAGTTCAACAGTTAAGTAATGTGAACGGCCAACCCGGTGTACTGCTCATGCAGGAAGATCACACTCAATTCAGCTCGTTTCTGATCCACATAACCACACAATCCTAAATCAGGAAACATTCATTCATTCTCCTTCAGCTTAGTCAGTTATTCACCAAGGGTCACCACAGCGGAATGACATAATGGATTTTCTTCCAGCTGCAACCCAGTACTGGGAAACACCCATACACACTCATTCTCACACACACACACACACTCATACACACTTTTGCCAGTTTAGTTGATCAGTTCCTCTATGGCACATGTGTTTGGACTGTGAGGGAGCAGCCGGAGGAAACCCATGCCAACACGGGGAGAACATGCAAACTCCACACAGAAACACCAACTGATCCAGCCGACACTCAAACCAGAGACCTTCATGCTTCGAGGCCACAGTGCTGACCACTGAGCCACCGTGACACCCAAAATCAAGAAGCATTTTCTGGACAATCAGAAAACATTGCAGAAAGTGTAGTTTACGGTGTTAGTGAATGCTGAATGCTGAACTGCTCAAGTGTTGTTCTTTATTAGTCAGTAAAGAGCTCAGCTAATGACTGAGTTCAGTTTAGTGTAAAAAGACACAAACAAAGTTCACAGAAAGAGTTTCGGATCTGCCGTCCAGAT